TGTCTGCCATTAACAAAACTCTGCTTGAGCCATTCACAGGAGCTCTCAGAGGAGCAGCCAACAGGCCAAGCCCTGTTTCCACTGCATGGCAGGGAAGGCTGCTAAGTGCGATGGCTCTGCTGTCRGTCACAGATATTCCCAATTAAGTTGTGCCAGGTTTCTGCAAATGCTGCCCTGTCAACATAATAAAGGCCAGGGTCAGGCATCTGAAAACTTTTACCAACTTGCCTCAGAAACCTTAATGCTGTTTTCTCATTGACATGCCTGTGTTTAGGGTTACATAAAAGTATGGTTTCGTGTACTGATTCCCCTCCTGTGAAGGAGCCACGCATAATATTTAAGTATTTATACTTTGCTTTTTTTTTTTGTTTGTTTGCTTTTATCCATCTCCATTTGTTCACAGTGAAGTCTAATCCTTAAATTTTAATGGCTATAAAGAAGTTTCTTCTTGTTGTTATGACATTTTATCAATAGCATTAAGTGCAATGAGTTGCATGATCTGTAATAAAACTATGTTTATGCTATTGGCCTGGCAAAGAAACATATACAGGAAGAATGTCCTTGATCTACCTTGAGATTAAAACCGCACATTTCAAAACTAGACTCAGTTGATTCATAAGTAGCTAGAATAGTGGTCCAGAATAGATTTGTCTTGAACTGCTGGACAATAAGATTTTCTCTTTTAGCTCTCTCTGCAAGTAAATACCTTTTGAGCTTAAAAAAAAAAGTATTTAATTATGAGACAAGACAAAAAAGGGACGTTTAGGTTATACAAGCATAAGCATTTTTTTCTTAAGCAGTCAGATTTTTGCCTTCTTTTGTGTCAGACGCTGTCTCTGGGATTTTTTTTTTTTTTTTTTTTTTTTTCTTTTTTCTTTTTTTGACTCTTATCAAGGGCTCTTTTTCAAATGTCACCAGTGTGGTGGTTAATTTGTAGATAATGAACATGATGGAGGATCAAACCCCCTCTGTCATACTCATGTATTCTGGTATGAGCACGGGCAGATTTGTGATTATCCAGCCATAATGTAGGAGTGGGAGGATAGTTTTATAGCTCCAGCACAGGTATGGGAGGAGAGCAGCTTGCACCACCCKTCTGTTTGGATTATACTAAGAAGAAAGACTTGACTTTGCTATGTTATCTGCACTAAGGAATACTCTTACTAAGGCTAAAATACTTGGTTAGGACCAAGCTCAAAGTTTTGCAAATGAAGGTGCTTTAACTTAAAACTCATTTTTCTCAAATCTGTTCTCATTGGAAACAAAATATGCTTCTAGCTCCAGGAGGAGAGAATATTTTAATACTGCAGCTTTATTAATATTTCAGGATTGTTCTATTTTTTATTTAGAAATTGAATTAAATCAAATGTAGTCAAGACTGAAAATGTGTAGGTTTACTGTGACTGAGTTTCATCCATTTTGGATRACAAAGCCTGCTCTCAGTTTTTTGTCCCTAGACCATGTATTTGCCATTTATTTTATACTAATATGTTTTTCTGTTTTTTTCCTTTCTATCATGATAATCACTGAGGACAGTAACAGTTGTGTGCCTTGGAAAATACATCTTTCAAAGGGAGTATCMTGATTTGAAGATAATAATCTCAAGTTTAGACTTAAAAAGCCATTTTATAGGAATATATGGATTTTAAATTTAAGGATTTAGGGATGTGCCAGTTTTCTGGTGTATTGTATAGCAAGCAATTGGATGAATTTGACTAACAGATTGTGTCCAAATGCATTAAACAGATATTCATATTAGCCAGCTATTTTGTTGTCTAATTTCCTTTTATATATTGTCTGCTATGCAGAGAAAAGTTGACTTGTACTGAGAATTTTTATCAGTGCTGATAGATTGCTCAGCTGGGTTTTATAAAATGAAAACATGTAAGTTGATCTTGGCTGGGCACTTTACATATTGGTGCCTCGTCTTCCATACTCTTGGAAAACGAATGGAAAATATCTTTTCTTCCCTGTCTCTTCTCTAAGTCAAATGAACTGAAATGGAGTTTCCTTATTCAATAACGGGTGGTTTCATAAAGCTTCTCAGGAATAGGACCTCTTTCGTCATTCAGTCCTTTTATTCTGAAAAGAACCAGCCTCTCTCTGCCTACCCACAAATATATTTTCTTGTTGTATGGGGAGAAGCACAGCTGGCCTCTGCTCTGCTGGCCTTTGTTCTGCTGGACTCCAGGTTTCTAGTGAGAGGAGCTTGTGTGTTAAAGCGGGAGGACCAACCACCAGCTGGTGGTGGAGAGAGGACTTCACCAAACATCTCCATGTGCTCTGCCAGACTCTTTCTGAGGGCATCTRTGCATGAAGATGCATTTCCAGTTGTGTGCTGCATGTGACTGCACAGACAGAAACATTTGGTGGCTAGGCCCACATTTTTGCATGTGCTAGGAGCCCTTCTGGTTGAGCAGTGGGTGTGGAGCTGGGACACACATGTGACATGAAGTGTTCCGTGAAAGATGAGCTGGCCCCCCAGGCTCATCAAAATCCCCCCTGAATTTGCCATAACCTGTACTTGATTTTGATGAAGCAGGTCATGGCAGTAGCAATTGCCTCTCAAATACAGCTGAGCCGCCCTTMTGGAGGAAATAGAATGGGAAGGCTTTCCGTGCCCCACAGTAGCATCCCATGAATGTGATGTCAATATAAGCTATTCATATGACTGGAATAAAAGAGAAAGCTGCCAACAGACATATGGGCGTAAAAGTACCTATCTGAAACCTTCATAATGTTTCAGTACACTTAGCAAAACTTAGCAGTTTTATTCTTAAATTTCAAAGAAATTTATCTCAAATCAGAGAGGGTATGGGAATTGCTCTTATTTCTTGTAGATAATTGTAGATGCAGCTGATGCATATTTTTCTTAGTTCTGCTATTATTAGTTGTGTATTTACACTGGACTGCCCTACAATTTTTGCATTTGCCCCTTTAATCCCTTGAATGCCTTGGAGTTTGTGCAGTTCTTCTTGCTGGCTTCTCAGTCACCCTTTTTACCTCTGCTGATTTCAGAGAAAACTGGATGGCTTTCCTGAAGTGCCAGTGCAGATCATACACTGTACATGTGTTAGCCATTTAGCAATCCCAGCTCTGCTGCAGCAGAGCCGAACCAAACCAACCAGGAAAGGGAATCTTGTTGGGGATTCCTTTTGTTCTGCTCCTATATTTATTCTGCATTTTAGTAAGCCACAAAATGAACTTTAAAATGTACTCTATTAGCTGAACAGGTCTTTGTTCTTTTGGAGATTATCACTCTGCCTCCACTCCAAAAAAGTCTCGTTTTCACAGAGGTAAAACTTGTCYCTTCTCCCTTAGGGGCCTTTCAGGCTTTGGGTTGAAGAAGTGCGATTATGGTGCCTATTAGGGGCAGGATTCGGGGAGCCTTTCCCGAGGGTTGAAGGAGCCCCACGCGCTCCAGGGGAGGGCAGGTTATGGCAGGAGGAGCTGCGTGGTTCCTGCCTACGCGCGGATTCCCCTTGTCTGCTGCCTCCGGCCTGAACAATAGGCTGAGTGTTCTTGGCTGGGAGCAGGATAAGAGCCCCATTGAGCTTGAGGGATATTCTCCATAGGCTATGAGAGGACTTGGCTTCCTAGAGAACAGACCGCTTTGAAATGACTAAGTTACTCGTATAGCGTAAGCCTTAAAGGTGTAAATGCAATATTATATAGCACTAATTCTTCATTAAGGAACTGTATTATAGAAACTCCATAATAATGCAGTGCTGATCACATACTGTAGTGCTGCATGCTGATTTGTCACCACCACCTGCTGTGCTGTCCGCAGCCCTTGGTTGCCACACTTGCTCATTGCTCATGTTGTTCCTTCTGCTATTTTGCACTGCCATTTCTTAATCCCTGCAAAACTGCAGCAAAGATTTATGTCTGCAATTGTTGCCAATGGCTCATGTTTTCTAGTCCCTCTTTCTGCAAACTGTTTCACGTGGGACGTTGCACAACCCAGGTTGCCTCAGTACTTTGCAGATGGGTATTTTTAGCTCACGAAGTAGTAGGAATATAGTAGTAATAGTAGTTTGTTGTGCATACTACACATTGACTGTGGCATTGCGGAATGATTTTAGATAGAGCTGTTAATTCCTGTGTTAATTCTTAAGTATATTGTGACTGTTACTGTTACTATTTAATTAAAAACTGTTTTATGGCATTAAATATATTCACTGACATCTCTAGTCAACAATAAGCACAAAGCCTTGATATTTTTATATTGTTTTTGTCCACATTTTTAATATCACAGATTATATCATTAAAAATTAATACAGMTTAATAATTTTGGAAGGAAAATTGCACAAGAAATTCTTGTGATTGAGGCTCTAAGGACAAATTGAAGAGTTTGTACTCTTAGCAGAGAGAGAGCAGAGACTCTGTTTTTGTGTATGGAAAAAACCTGTAGTCCTTACTGTTTAAGAAGTGGATAGAACCTGAAGAGCATATGAGGAGATGAGTTTGAATGGATGTGCACTATAYGCATTGTGTCACTGTGATGTGTATTCCTTTGCTGTCTTTGCTTCTGAGTTGGTATTGGCCTAACTCCTTCTCAGGTTTTAAACCTCCATTGATTTCTGTTAGCTGAAGATCTGTCCACGAGTTACTTGACCTCACCTGTATTTTCTCTCTTGGTCCTACATGTGATGTCATTACTAAAGAATCAAAAACTAAGGAAAACTTCCATAGCTGAATAAGTTCGTTGAAAAAAAGGGCTGAAATGGTTTATTTCTGACAGATTCTTGATGAGGGCTGCCTGAGGCATGAAACATGGCAGTAAAGAGCATGGAGGRGACTGGCCTTAAGAAAAGAGGTCCCTACCAAGCACTGAAGCTAAGGCAGTCARATTGTAATGCCCATTTAGAAGCTGCTGTTTACATAGAAACTCCTTAGTACGACATGCTAATAAATAATGCTTTCAATTGCTACCTGTTTGAGATCCTCCTGATACAAGAGAATAGCCTGTGTTTTCAAATTGTGTTGTTTCTTTGCAGGAGTCAGAGAGTAATAAGTTATGTTCCCTATATTCCTTCCGAAATACCTCTACCTCACCACACAAGCCCGACGAAGGAGGTCGTGAGCGCAGTGAGCTAATGACCAGTGTTAACTTCGGAACGCCCGAACGCCGCAAAGGAAGCCTTGCTGATGTGGTGGACACACTGAAGCAGAAGAAACTAGAAGAAATGACCCGGACCGAGCAAGAAGGTATGTGTTAGATAAGGTTAAAATATTTCCTTCACACACCCCTACAAATTTTATGGTAAAAAGAATGTGTTGGGTGGCAAGAGCCAGAGAACTGCAGAATTGGCAAAGGCGAGGAGCAAACTATTCACAGGTTATGGTGATAATGCTGTTGGAGATCTATTAGGGATTTTAGACAAATAGGGCTTTTTTTAAAAAAYGTTCTGAATTGTGTCGGTTGTCTGTCAAAGCAAGATTGTAGGTTTAGATGAAAATTCTTACTTCAAAGGTTATAGTGAATTCATAACTGGTCATAGAGTAGTAATATACTTCTGTGGTATTTGTTTTTTTCTTCTTCTAAAAGTTAAATGCATATTCTAAACAATAGGAATGAATAAAACAAGAGATTGTTTTGTCTCTGAAATTCTCATCTTTAATCACCTTAATGTCCCAGCATCTGTGGCTAGGAGAATGGGAAACAATTCTGAATTTTAACTGAATCATATTTCTGACCTACGTAACTAGATTTGCAACTGAAAAATCTTTTTTTTTACAGTCTGCTTAGGTATTGTTATATGTGTTAAAAGATAGACATAAGAATGAGGACAAAACTTGAAGCTGAAAGGAAGTTTATGTTCAGTCGCTTTTCCACATAATATTTTCCTCAGCTTAGCTAAGATTTTTGCTTTGATAGGGGCTAAACAATTGCAGAGTGAGTTTATCAGCGTATGCACGGTRGACAGGGTGCACTAGGACAATCCCCATTTCAAGTAGGATAAAATCTTGGCAGCTTCTGTGACAGTATCTTCTTGTCTCTGAACTCATACATGAGTTTGAGCAAGAGAAGAGGTATGAGCAGAAAGTTCTGAAGTAGATACATAGGCACGGAGGCACATGAAGGTGTCATTTCCAGGAGACTTCCTAAAATACACTGATTCTATTAGTTATTTTCACAGTGTTTGCAAACATTAAAAATAACCAAGGAAGAATATTTGTAATGTAGCTGTAAGCATTAGAACCTTGTGATCTTCTTTGCCTTTAAAATGTGAATGAACTCAGAATGATGTTTCCTCTCCTCCATGGTATGGCTACAGCCTTCAAAGTGTGTACTTCAAAGTGTAATAAAGTAGATTTCAGTTGAAATTGATACTGATACAATAACATATTTAAAAACGGAATTAAATCGTGTGGGAATGGAAGTAGGCCTTCCAATTTCTTGGCATAATTGTTAAATGCCAGCACATAGTTAAATGTGTTCTCTAGGTGTCCTTTCTGAAGCTGGTGAAACATCTCTAAAGAGAGAATGTCCCAGATTCTTTACTACCATCTGTCTGTTTTCATCTGTAAAGATCACTCTTTTAAGAGTTTCTTTCTTAGATTTGGTGGTTAGACTAGGAAAACTATTTTAAATGTTACTCTGGCAAAGTTGTTTTTTGCAGTCAGTTAACAGTCGTTCGACACTCCATGCTAATCGAAGGTCTTGGCTCATGCTTTGCTGCAGGAGCATCCAAGTTGCTTTTGATTATAGTGACACCGCAGCTAAGACTTTTCCAGGAACATGCAGAATGGTGTGCTAATAAAATTGTACTTCAAAAAGTTGGAGGATAAAATCYTAGAGCAAGATTTCAAGTGTGTTATAGCTACTTTTGGTGTGAATTCACAAGAATTTTATGCACATTCTCTTTATTAGCTTATTCTAGTTTATTTGATTTGAGAAGGCTGTGTACACAGCAAAGGGATTTCTCTGAGTCTGAGCCCTCCATGCAGCATATTCCCAGCTGTGGAATAAAAATGATTCCTGATCTGTAAAATAATTCATGGACCATACTATGCTGGGAAACTGTTTTCAAGCTTTTAAGTTGAAAGGTAATTGGCATTTGCTGGCAAAAGGTAAAAGATATTTTTGTAGAAAAGATTTACTTCCATTTTGTAAAAATAATTATTTGGCATCTGATTGGCAGGGTGCAAGTAAAGACAGAAGAATCTTAAGAAATTCAGTGGCTTTAAATTCTTCCGTAAACTAGGAATAAAAAAAAATTATGATTACAAATTAGAACACCTACTTCAGTATTCACAAGTTTTTCTGAACTGCAAGCAACCTCTCCATACTTATTTGATTTTAATAAAAATGATTAATATCTTAAGATTCTGATTTTTGTTGTGACTCTAGGAAACTGAGTTGGAGAAATRCAGAAAATGTTCAGCTATTTTAGCAGTGTCTTTTAAGCTACCCAATTAATAGCCTAATCATGCAGGTGCCATAGATAATGCCCTTTAACTTGTGTCCTTTAGAGCAGGTTTGTGTGGAGTTCACAGCCCTCTTCCTAAAATGGTTTGCAGCTGGTGCTGTATAGAGGAGCTCATTGCCCAGGGAGCCCTCCTCTGCCCCAGAGTGCTTACCCAAATGGAAACATGCCTGCTGCTTTCTGGGGCAAGTCCATACCAGGATATAATCACCTTAATGAATGCAGCAGTGAACAAACGGCTTTTCCTGTGGTATCTTGGTTGCTCTGTGGGACTTTCTTATCTTTCGTTCTCAAAATGCCTTAGAAAGGATATCTTGCCCGCGCCTTTGAATGCACCCCTCGTACGGAGCAGAGGTTGTAGGGAGCAGCTGTGGGCACATCTGGGCAGCGGTGGAGCTGGGCTGGAAGAGGCCCCGTGCCAAGGCAACAGCCACGCCATGAGCCGAGCGGAGGCCCGGGGAATTCCAGCCCTCTCCCCTGATCTCTGGGTCAGAGCAGCAACAAGTCCCTTCTCATGCCAGTGCTGGTGCAACCTTTTCGTCTGTCTGTAGGGTGTGGATTTGAGTTAATGTGAATCACAAAATATTTTGTGGTGTACTTTCAGCTATTGAATGTCAGTGATGCTTGCAGGTAGTGCTTGCCACCTCCGTTGTGACTATGAACGTGGAAAAAAAGCCTCACAGAGAAAGGCTTTAGCATGTCTAAATAAATATATTTAATCAGAATCCTTGGGCTTCTGAAAATAAGTTGTCTAATGAGAATTTCATCTGAGCAGCTGTGACTGAGGAGGTCAACAGGCATTGCCTAAGAGAATATGGCCCAGCTGGTTAAATCTGGTTGTTGTAGTGATTTAAATGGTCAAGTGCTGCTTGTAATCCAGGACCGTCTGTTTGTAAAGGAGAGAGTGAGTGCTTCAGCATAATGTACAGCTGTTTTAATCTCTCTTTAATAATAGTGCTTCAGCCAGTGTCATGTCTTGTGTATAATGCTGTGAGCGTGAGCGCCTCGTTCAGGACACAGTATATCTTAGGTCACTCTTTGGCATTGCTTGTAGTCTGAAAAAAATTTATCAGCATCCTGAGATTAACAGTATTTTTTGACTTCCTTATCTAATATTTGTGTGCTGTTTGTGTTAAGGCATTTCCGTGATTTGATTTTTAAAGATCAGAGAATAAGAAAAATATAAAAATAATAGAATGCTATATATATTTACAGTTAATTTGAGTATGTAAAGACTTTGCTGACATGTGTTCTCATAAGGCAGAAGAGGTCAGAAACAAACAGGTGCCTAATTAAATCAACTGCACTAGACTCTAGGGCCTCTTGGCTGTAGTCATCATCTTACTTTTCTTGTAAGAGAAAGGATATTTTACTGGTCTTTTTCTCTGCAAGTATCCTTCAGTAAAGCCAAGCACCACATGTCTTTGTGGGGCTCAGGTAGAGGGAATCTGTCTGCTAGCACATGCAGTCTGCTGCTCTGCAGGGTCAAGAAAAGTGGTGTCTTTTAGCCTAGCCTTACATGGCTTTTGTGAGAGCTGTTTCCATTGCCTGCACCGCCGGCCTCGCAGGCTGCGACATGGCCGCAGACACCTCTCCCCATGCTTCACCCTGAGCCCCCGGCCTCGCAGGCTGCGACGTGGCCGCAGACACCTCTCCCCGTGCTTCACCCTGAGCCCCCGGCCTCGCAGGCTGCGACGTGGCCGCAGACACCTCTCCCCGTGCTTCACCCCGAGCCCCGCGAGCCACGGGTAGCAGCACGTGACGTGAGCGCAGCGAGCAGAGCCGCTTCCCTCCTTCTGAGGGGTCCGGCCGGCAGGGCAGCAGGCGCCGGTGTGCTGGAAACGGGGCCCGCAGGGCTGTGTGTGCTAAGCCCTCCTCGCTCGGGGCCCGGTGACCTTGCACGCGTGTGATGTGCGCGGTGTCGCTTTGCAGCCCAGCTTGGGGCTGGATTCTGGCATGAGCTTTTTATAAACTGCTTCCCATTCTCGTTTCCTCATTGAAGGCCRTCGCTGAGCATGCACAGGGCAAAGGTCTCTGCCTAAGTGCGCTGGCATAATGAGCAGCTACGAAAAGTAGCGTGTTCCAAAATTCCCATCCTTTCCATCGGGTGCCCGTTTGTAGTCTTTCGCTATAGGTGGATATATGTTCTTCATAAAGATACATGCCCAAAAATTGGTTAAAGAATATACATTATATGTAATATTAATCTTCTATAGAATAGGAACTTTAAAGTGTGTATTACACTACTCTACAGCAGGGTAAGATTTTGTTGGTAATTTTTTTCTCTTGAGTTTCCTAAGTTAATAAAAATTGAGGGTTTTCTATTATCTTGACATAAAATAGATTAATGCTGCCACTGTAAAATTTTCTGTGGTGCCACTACAGACAGTGTACCCCAATATTGCACATATTTGTGTACACATTTTCTGTTGTCTTCACCCGGAAATAAAGAACTGTGGCCTCACATTCCGTGTTTTACAACTGGGCACTGGTACAACCATTTCAACTGCAATTTCATGCAGATTTTTTTTTAATAGAATCTGTATGTGTTAGTGAGAATCTGTATATCGTAGTGAGTGAATGAGAGGTTTCAGTTTGTATCTTTGTTTTAAACCTCCGGCAGCTGAGAAAACACGGAGCTCTGGCACTTACTGCTGCCTTTTGGTACAGTTTTGAACAGCATCTCTAAGGATGTTAGGTGTCAGGAGTTCTTTTTTGGGCATCAGGCCCAGAAGTAAGCTGGTGTTGATGGTTTTGCAGAAGTGTTGTTGAGATTTG